TCAAAACTAGTTCAGAGATGATGGCTATGTATGTGGAAATTCTTGTCAAAAAAGCATAAATATATAGTATGAATCTTTGTCTTTGTTTCCCTTTAGGGGATGTGGAGGGAAAGATGCTTTAGCCAGGCAATAACACCTTTGCTGAGTGATTTTTTTCTTCTTTCAAAAAGTCACACACAGGAAGTTATTTTATGCTGAGTCATACCACTAATTGGTTGAGCTACCTCAGTTTTGTCCGTGCTGACTGGTATAACAGCTATGCAGTGTTTTCAGAGAGAAGTCTTTTCAAGCCATTTCTGAAGATACCAGGGGTTGAACCTGAGACTTAAAACAGATCATTAGTTCATCTAGCACAATATTGTTTGTACCCAGGATGGTGAACCTTGTGGCCTTCCTGATGTTGTTGAACTCCCATTGGCAGGGCCAATGGACAAAGATAGTTGGACTTGTAGTCCAACAACTTCTGAGGGATCATGAGCTGCCCATCCTTGCTGCCCTCTGACTGACCGCAGCTCTCCAGTTTCAGACTGAAGTATTTCTTGGAGATACTGTGAGTTGTTCCTGGGACATTCAGAATGCAAAGCCTTTGTGCTTCCGTCTGTGAATGGATAAGGGCAACCATTGTTCAGGTGCTACTAAAGAATTAAGCAAGTCAAACAAATGTGCCTTTAGCACCTGTGGGGAAAATAATAATTGGGATATTTTTTTCTGAGAATGGCATATGATGTTGATCTATAAGATAGCAAAAATAAAATAAAGCCACAACGCAGCTTGAAACATTGATACCATTTCCAACGTCAAACCTTTTGGGGGTCTGGGCAAAAATACGCAGCAAACTGGATGAGAGAAACACAGCTGACTGAATAGAATTCACATCATTTTGTTTTAGAAAGTCTGGGAGGCCTTGTGAAATTGTCTGCCATTTCCGTAACTATTTCTACAAGTAGCCTATAAGAAGCAAATGGGTACTGAAGTATCACCACCATTTTTTGGCTGCAGAAGTGTTTGACATAAAAGATACTTCAGTTCACCCGAAATAAACGTCACTCGCAACCTAAATACATTTTGCTGAAAAGCACAAATAATAAATGTATGTGCAGCTTTTGTCAAGGGTGTAGCTATTTCTGGCATGTGGAGTTGTTTGTCCCCCTAAAGCCAGTTTAGTTTTCTTTCTCGAAATTTATGACAAGAGGCATTTGGGGGCTTCAAAGCCACTTCAGCTATCACAGCAGCTTAAGAATCAGGCTGCACTTACATATGCACACACACACACACACACACACACACACACACACACACCCCTTTTATTGTTGGATGTGATTGCATGCATTGGGAATTGTGGGTGGGAGGAAAAATATACAAGGGGCAGGGGAACTGAGAGGACTTGACTCAAACAAGTATATATCGCCTCTTATACTTATGCCAGTAAAACATAACAACTTGAATGTAGCAAATTAACACTTGAATGATAACTCAAAATGACACTGATCTCCTCAAGAGCAGTCTGTATGCAAAGATGAGTAGTTTATCCAAGGTATGACCACGCATATTTTTATTCAGCATCTGACTTGCAGCATTTTAATTCTGTGGTATTACATGATTTAATAAAAACCTTGTTAAAATCACTGTGTGTGTGTGTGTGTGTGTGTGTGTGTGTGTGTGTGTACTTGGGGAAATGACAGTAGAGGCTTTTGTTCCAAAGCTGTTGCCTTTTCCTCCCCTCCTAACACTCCAGTTCCACAACCCAGACTGCTAGTGTTAAATGAATATATTTGACAGGAGCTGGGTCTTTTGGGCATTGCAGTAGGTTTTCCTCATCTTGGCATGTGAAGATTGAGAGTGTTCTTTGACACTAGGAGCAGAGGATGTGAACACAGCAACTTTCAGGGCATCAGAAATGTCAGCATAAGGAACAATCAGCAATGTAGACTTGTGCTGAGGTAATTTTCCCACACTATGCCATGAATTCAGTCAACTCTTGCTCTTGTGAATTCTGGCTTGACAGAGTCTCCCTTGTTGTTGGTAAATAATACACAAAGTGTTCTGTCAGCATCAAGAGTTATCCAGTCCCCCTATGTAGTAAAATAAAAAAATATAATCCTGGTGCCTCTGTTTGAAATCTGACAAACATACACTAGCCTACCCTTCAGTTTTGTAGATTCTGCTCTAGAAGTTCATTTTCAAAACATTTCCTTCTACAAAATAGTGTGTTGATATTGCCAAGGTTTCTGAATGCACCTTCTTTCCCAAAAAGCAAAATCCACTAGGAGTCTTCAGAAGGAGAGGAAGGCATTTTGCTGTATGAGGTGAAGGACAAGATGGTGCCCCCCACCCCAGTCTATTTACAAAAGCAGAGTCCTCCATTGCACCTGAGGGCAGCAAGATAGTTTCAGGGACACAGGGTGTTACAGTGGGAGGAAGAGACAAGAAAGCCCTGCTGCACCCTTCCACTAATGCAAATTTGGATTCGAACTTATGTTTTGTCTCTAGCCAGGAAGTGAGTAATTAAATGGTTAATACAGGAAGAAAGGAAGGAGAGAAGAGAGAAGAGTTCATTTCTACTTTCACACAGCACCTTTGAATCAAACCTTGTGTCTTCCTGCATAGTGAAATTATATGCCTAAGCCAAGTTCTTTCTTCATACTATAAATCTGTCATACTATACAATACAATAAATTTCAATTTAATTAGCAAGGCTTTGGTTTCTTCAACAACCCATGTTGATTAAAAAAATCTTTTAAATATTTAATGAGGGGGAAAGAAACCCAGAAAAGACAAAAACAAAAACAGTATTGATGCTAAATTATTTTCTGGTCATAAACCAGGGACATTGCAGAAGTCATAACATTTTGACCATTGCTTGATAGTTGTTTGAGACATGGTCGTGAGGAGAAAACACTGGCAGCAATGACTGATGCTAAATTGTTGACTGGCCATGTTTGTGGGATCAAAACCTGGCTTTTAACAAGCTAGAGGATGCCTTGGCAGTGTGCGTCTGCAAGTGATGAACCATAGGTCCCCATTGCGCATGAACCAGGAAAGTATGGACACGGAGTCATGTTTTGTAAGTTGGCTTACAAATCCTGGTGTGATTTGTAATTGGGAAGCAATTAACCATATCTTGTCGTTCTCGCAGGAAACTATGGTTGCAGCTTCCTGGTTTGTTACACAGAGGACTGAAGAGGCTGCATGCATATAAAGCCTGGGGATATTCAGCTTATTCAGTGTAGACTCATTGAAATTAATGTTCATGACTAACTTACCTCCATTAAATTTCAATGCATCTATTCAGAGTCAAAGCTAATTGAATACATAGGAGTGCACTGTAAATTTTAAACAATCTTGAAACATAGTACGAAGTAATTTCCCTTTTTATTATTGCTAAAACTGGACTGGTTGGGGAAACATGGCATGTAATCCTTCCCAATCTTCCTCTTGGGGAGTATTTCTTTTGTCTGTCTTCATTACACCACTGTGGGTTGACACCATGTTTCTGCACCTTGCCAGCTCCCAATCTCCCAACAGATTTCCAGGATGCCTTTTAGGCTGAAAGCATTGCCAACTTCACTAGCTCCTTGGATCCTGAAAGAACTAGCACATTATTATTCTCATGACTGTCTGGATGTGGAAGGACACTGTTTGCTCTGTGATATTTATATATTTAGGTATCTGCGTCTCTTGATGCATGTTTCACTCATGCTTTCGTTTTGTTCAGCTTTTTTCACACTTCTCATTCACAGGTCATGTTGCATTTTATATTTATTGTTTTGACACTGTAGATATCTGCATTTTAAAAAGACTGGGAAATGACAACCACATATATTCTTAGTTGCACTGTTACTTTCTTTTTAATGCCCTAAAAAAGAAACCCACACATAGCTCGGCTCAACAGCGACATTTCCCCCAGTATATATCATAATTAATTAATATTCACAAATACTATCATGAGACACTATTTTTAAAAAAGGGAAACAATTTATGTAATCTGTATATGTGTACAGATCTTGTTCTCTTTATTAATACAGAAATTAGAGCTGAACTTAATTATCATGAGTTTCAATTTTCTGCTCAGAATTTGCATGTTCACTGAGGGAGAACCTTTTATTAAACCGCATGAAAACGAAAAGCTTTTTACCTACATCATCTACAGCTCAGAGAGATGTGCAATTTTATTTTATTTTTTAGGTACCTGAGTCTTATTCCTACTCTCTGCTTCCTGTAAATAGCAGGAGGGTTGTGGGAACACGATGCTGGACTACGTGGGCTGCTGGCCTAATGCAGTAGCTCTACATGTGTCCTTTAGTGTATAATTCCTAAAGAAGCCCTCATGTTCTGGGTAACTTCCAAGGCAATCCTGAAGGTTGTTTGATCAAGGAGCTGCACAACTGACTGAACTAAAGCATAAGCAGAGACACTTACTTTCTGTAAGTCCTTAACGTAGAGTCATTACACCGAAGAGTTTGAAGGGACGCCGATGGTCATCTAGTCCAACCCCCCTGCAATGCTGGAATCTCAGCTAAAGCATCCATGACAAATGGCCATCCAACATCTGCTTAAAAATCTCTGAAATATATTTGGAGTCGAGAGTGGATTTCATGCTCTTTATTCAGCTCATAGCGGTTAGGAGGAATGGAAGTTCCCCCACAGTATTTGCTTTATATACATTATTTACACAATGGGCTGCACGTGATTGGCTAATTCCGGGATTCTCCTGTAGGCCAATCAGGTTGCTGATTCACTTCCACCCGGAGCTGGATTGGGTGGCTCCTGCGGACCAATCATATTGCTGCATTGTTCTAGGACCAATCAGACTGCTGCATTCTGAATCCTATTGTTCTAGGACCAATCAGACTGCTGCATTTTGGATCCTATTATTCTAGGACCAATCAGACTGCTGCATTTTGGATCCTGTTCAACTCAGTACATAATAATCTCCAAAGAAGCAGATTTCACAACCTCCTTAGGGAGTCTGTTCCACAGCTGTTAATGTCAGAAAGTTCTTCCTGAAGTTTAGTCGAAATCTCCTTTCCTGTAACTTGAATTCATTGCTCCTAGCCTCCAGAGCAAGAGAAAACAAGCTTGCTCCATCTTCCACATGACAGCCCTTTAAATATTTGAAGATGGCTATCATATCTCCTCTCTGTCTCCTCTTTTCTAGGCTAAACATCCCCAACTCCCTCAACCGTTCCTAGCTCATGTCATTGTAGGTGAGGCAAGGGAGGGTTGTTATCATTAATGTGGGCTGTGGAAGAATTTATAAAAGGATTTTGCCTAAGTTTTAGCTCACTCTATGCCCATTTCATCAGCTTGAACAAGGCCAGGAAGATAACAAATTCACAGGGGTCTTGGTCCCAAGTCACAGTTCTCTGGAACCTTTGCTTATCTGTGACCTTGGGGTTTTTTCCATTCACCCTTCTACTTCCCAGGCTTGAACCATGTATACATTAAGTAGTGGATGAACACAGCTAAAAAACTAATTTACATTTTTGCAATAGTGACAATGAAACAAAAAAAGTCTGTTTTGCCTCAAGTCTAGAGAAATATAAATGTGATGTGTTTCTTCTAGTCTGTCACTAAAATTAATAGCATTGCATGAGATAAATTCACCCATAGAATATATGGTTGTGATTATATGACACAGAGTAAAGAAATCAGTCTTGCAGTTGAATAGATTAATAGATTAATATGCAGACTACAGGATATTAATATTGAAGGTAATGAGATACAACTTCATCTGAATACAGGACTAGCACCCTTTACGTTATTGTGGCATACGGTTTTGGCTTTAACTGTAGTGACAGTTGCAGCACTTTTAAGAAGCTGTCACCCGTCTTAAGCATGTTTACTTGGAAGTCTCAGTGAGTTCTTTGAAACTTACTCCCAAGTAAGTGTGTCTAGTGACATAGCAATATGTTGTTTCACTTTATTTTTTAAAAGAAAAAAGTATGGTGATCCATTGCAAATGTGTGTCATTTTCAAGTACTAACTTTCCCTCCTTCTCTCTTGTACACACAAGAGCATTCATGTTAAAAACTCATCATTGGTGGACTCTTATTTTAAATAAAATGTGGTGATGATAGGAAAATGTTGAACTAATTCATACTGTTGTCAGCTTACCCATTGCCTACCCAGGTTGCCTATTGTCTCACTTGAAAAACGACAACCCATTATGAAAGCAAGACATGCAATTCTAGTCTTAGTTATATACATTTTATAATTAATATCGTCCTGGTGTCAATACTTTTAAGTTGTAAAATGGAATAGTTTTAGCCTACAGAAGATGGATCCTCTACTGCTGTGTGGAAGAGCAATGCAGTAAAGAGCCCCCTAAATGGCACTCAGAGCTCTGTTGTATGTGCGCCTTAGCTTAAAATTTCACAAAGCAAATAGAAGTAGATGGCAAGAGAAAACATACTATATACAGATTAATGGATGCTATAGATGTCTCAGTGCTCTGCTTGCTTGGTTACCTTTGTTTCAAATCTGATACAGATCTCATACTGCACAGCACATCCAGAAATAGTCCATGTTTCTTTAAATTCAAGCAATGTATCACTTTCTATTACCCCATGTCACATCAGTCTATGACTAAAGGATGAGTTATGTGGACATGAACCAGCATGTGGGCTCACTACAGACAAATGCAACATTTCAAATAAAAGTCAGATGTAGAAAGGGAAGGGGAAAGGTTTGTCTTCAATATAAGTATTTAGCAAGCAGCTCTGGGTTTAATGGGTATACAGCACAATGCACAAATTTTAACATACATGTTGGAGAAGGTATGTACTTTGTGTGTATTATTATCATAAGCATTTTTTTTATTTAATGAAACCCCAACCCCAGTGACTTGTGGGAGAATGGGTTAGGAATTCTTTGAACCTGCCTGTCATCAATCTCAGGCTCTTACTTCTAACATAGCATTGTACAAGACTGGTGAATGAAATGTTCTGAAAAGCCAAAGCCTGATATATTTTACCAGTTCTTTGAGTTAAGATTAAATTGTAAATGCATTGGTCATTTAAATAGGGATTTGCACTGTTTTAAGAGACTTCTTGTGATTAGAAGTAGGGATGCATACAATAGCTCTGATGATTTCTTTCCTGATCTTCTTTTTAAAACTTTCCTGGCACTTCAGATTTGTTCAGTTCAGAAGAATCTCTAGATTTATTTCAGTCTGTGGAACGGAACGACAACTACAGATGTGCATTTTCCCTCTGAGAAATTTTGTCAGTCATATCAAAGTTCTTTTAGCTGTCTGTTGAAATTCTTCAGATGTTTCACTGGAGGACACCATCCCTGCTTGGGAGATCACTTTAAATTTTACTTCGGCTGAAACTTGAGTTAGAGGTATCATGCAGGTTAAGGGAAAATGAGCTCTCCATGTCTGAATAAGCCACTTCAGGCAGGGATTACAGCTGAACAGCCCTCACACATTTCTATTGAAAAATGTGTTAGAGCCATTAATCTAATTTATTTAAAATAATTGTATGCCATGTTTTCCATTGCAAAATCACTCATAAAATGAATCACATAAGAATAAAATAGAAACATGTACGTTTAGAGCCATAACGTGCAGATTGACTAGAATGATAGGACAGCAACTAATTGTGGAAAATAAGAAGTCCCAGAAACAGTTGCATAACTGTACTTACTATCCAAATATAGTCCTCAGACCTAGTGCCAATGTCTTTCAGAGATATGTGCTCACTTTTATAAATGATTTCAAAATCTATGGCTTCATCAGGCACCATTGACTTAGGGGGAGTCTATAAGTTCTTTAAAGATGAGGAACTTCTGACCCATGGACCAAATTAGACCCACAAGGATGCTTTGAACATGCTATGCCCACCTCTCTTACACCTGACATCATATATCATTGTCATTATCATTTTTTAAATTAGATTTGTATACTGCCCTTCATCCAGATATCTCAGTTCGCAATGTGAAAAACACAGAATATATATTATACACTTTTAAAAAGAATTTTTATTTATGACATTATCTATGATATCAGGTGTGGGGCAGATAAGGGTGGATTGGCTGAAAGGAGCTTTCCAGGCCCATTACTTTACTTCCAAAGCATTTCCCAAATGCCTGACCATCAGCCAGTTGCTTAGTGCTAGGGAAGTGGTGCACAGAGACTTTGCAAGTTCCCCAAGTTCTGTCATTTGAACTATACCACCCCCCCCAGGCCAATGTCAAGAGGCATCCTTCACCTGACATAATTATGACATCAGAAGTGGGTAGTTCTTCCCACCTGTGAAAGCTGGTCCACAGGGGTGGGTGAGATAAGAAATAGAAAAATAGAAATAATTTATTGTCACTGTACCACTTGTTTACAGTGAGATTAAATGAGCCCCCCTCCCCCCCAATCTCTCAGTCCTTGTTACACTCTGTGTGCTGTCGTACGACCACCAACCCTGAACGTCAGCTGCAATGTCCTGTCTTCCATAAGGATCAGGAGCACTGGTCTATCCCTGTTGTAGGAGGTGTCTGCAACTTGATACATGATAGAAAGAAAATCTAACATCATTACTGGAGGGTATTGTGGCATGGCAAGAGAACGAGGCATTGTGTGGGCATGTGGCTGCTGAATTTCTAGCAGCATCCATGATGCTATCAGGATACATTTTGGTCCTGCTGCTCACTGTATGCCTCAATAGTGCTGAACTAGCAACCATGCTTCTTGCAATCCCTCTTGATGCCATTTGGTAAAGCTATTGCGCCCCCCACCCTTTATTATTCCTGAACAATAGACATATTTTACACTCTGGTGATCTGCCTCATAAGTCACTGCTGTCAGCAGAAAAGACTCAGCTTCTTTCCTTGGTAGGACTACTTCTTGTTACCTAGGACCAAAAAGATGTTACATGAGACAAAAACCAATGGCATGTTTGTTATCTGCCTTTTCATTGATTTGCATCAGAATGATTTAAATTTTAATATTCATTTTGGCTTAATAAGGCTTTACTGGGGCTTCTTAGCAATGTGCGGTGTTCTTCACCAGCCAAAATCACTAACAACTGCACATTTAGTTAGGCATCTGCTTTCTCATTTGCTTCCTAGTCAGATTTGCAATTTATTTTCCGCATAACTTTTCACTTTGGGTCTGCACCCTGCACAATGCAGGTAGGAAGCACACAGCAAAGTGCAACACTTGTTCTTCCCGAGAGCAAACATGCAGTGCAAATTCATGCTGCGAGGATTCGCAAAGCTTCTTAGGCTTATGTACAGGTGTGAAAATTGTTGTGGTATCCTGCTAAAGCATACTTTAGACAATCACATTATTAGCTAGCCCCATAATTAAAATCATTTGTGGGGAAAATGAGCAGTTTCTGAAGTTGGTGCTTAGTCTCTCTCTCTCTCATGAAGAGAAAAGGAGGAGGGAACATCAGAAATGTTTTCCATCAAAAGAGCAACAAGCAGTGAACAAGTTTCTAAGTAAATGCATGAATTTTGTTAACACTTCATTGTTTAAAAGGCCCGTCTGCTTCAAGGCTAGCTGTATGCATGTTTCTTCATGCACGCATGTACATATATGCATCTGTGTTACGTGAAATTGCACATGTGATCCTAAGTAAACTTGGATATTTATTTATTTATTTGGATAAACTTACTGATTTGTAAGTTTGCCTCGAGCCGATGGCAAGAAAATCTATGGGATTACTTCCAAGAAAATGTGTTTACATCTGGGACCTCTTTCTCTCTATCTCTCACACACAGAAGCACTCAGCATCCTTTCCCCACTTTGTATCACAAAAAGGAAATATTTACTTGCAGCCATTGAAAAGCTTAGTACCCAAATCCTGAATATTTAATAGAAAATAAAATGATATTTATTTTTAAGTGCATTCTACCTTCAGCGCCACTGCATCCTCACAACAAATCTATTGCGTTGCCCTGACATAGTTACTGCAAAGGTTTTTCCTTTGCTGTCCCAAGGGCCCAATTGATTTATCTGCCAGAAGCCTAAAGCCCCAAAATAAGATAGCTTTGAGTTTACAGAGGTCATTTTTCATTGTCTAAATAAAAATTTCTAAACAAAAATCTCTCATCCTGTTAACCGCAGGGTCCTTATCTCCCCAGAGGCTACAGAAACCTGAAAGAAGCCATTTCAATTCTTTTATGAAGAAAGATAAAAGCAAGTTTTCGATTAGAAAGCCAGGGAAAGCTGCCTTATTAAA